CGGTTGTCATTAATGATCCTCGAGGAAAGCTTATCTAAAAGCCTCTGCTCCACTCGCTTTTAGGTTGCTTGTAATTAAGCCCTGCAGCTCTAAAAGAGATCTAGGGCAGAATCACCAATTTCTCGGTCGGATCATATATATGATGTTGCAAGACACCGATACTTGATTTGAAAGATCCTCCATATTCAGCGTCATGATTAAGATGCTTGAAATAAGGTTTGGGGGCTGCAGGACGGCCGGCCCACCATGTCGACTCTCCTTCGGAAGCCAATCGATGTCTCTGTTCTAGTGCGAAAACCGGAGAAATCTTACGTAAGCTCATGTGGCCTGTCCGTAGTTAGCATATTTTCTACAAGCCATCTGCTAGAGATATCAAATTAGCGATCGAATTTGGCAGATGGAGAGGATGGGTCAGGCTCAAAGAGAATATAGTTTGTACGAGGAAGGTTTATGCAAGACAAAAGACATAGCTTCTGGAACATTCTATAGACTAGATAAAGATAGCAGGAGCTTCCCCCTGTACGAAGGACCAGTCTCTCTTGCGAGGGCAACTTAACCGCGGATCGGACCTCGTTGAGAAAAGTCTGTGACATTCCAAATACCTCATCTGCCTCAACCTACTTCCTAAGCAACAAAGACCTGTTCTATCTGTACTCTGACGGCCCGTCAAGACTAGGTTGTGGATCGTGTCTGGACCCTTGCAGATCCTTCCGATTTCTTCTGCGGGCCACAAATAGAACCTCCGTGATCTACTATCCCGTGGGTCGTCCCTGGGATCTGCATCGCTGAACCGTACCTGCGTTTGTCTAAAGTCACGCGCGGTGTTTGATTGGTCCGTTGGGTGCTATTTGTATCTAGGGTCTCATCGGTGTGATAGCAGCGTTGCAATCTGGCGAGGGGGTGGCGATCACGAGAATCTAGCTTGTGAGCCATGGTAGCTGAAATAACTCACCTCATTGTCCTGGAAACTGGACTCGGGTTTATATTCTGAGATTTCCAACAAAGTCTAGATTTTCGATTCTCCGTCAAGGAAAACAACTTATACCCTGGATTTGGGAGTATGTTCATAGTGTCTGCACCGACAGGGAGCAGAAGTTTTAGGGGAGGCAACCTCAGTTGGTTGCGAGCAACAAAGAAAAGTACCGTTCGAGTAGCGCGAAACTAGAAATAGGCAGAGGATTGTAGTGGGATCAATGGGAGGCACGTCCTATGGCCAACAGCCGGTAAAATCGAATGTCACTGTCTGCCACAGTGTCCAACCCATTATTGCGGCATCTGTTCAAGTACCTCAGCCCTCACGAAAGAGACGATGACCAAGGCTAGTGACCATGGTCAAAACGGGCAGGGTAGTCTGCCACCGCGTTGAGCGATTTGATTGCAATTTCAATGATGTGAGAATCATTTTCTTGCGGTATCACTGCCTTCTCAACAGTTGATGAAAGTGGTTCATCACACTCAACGCAGGTTTTGAACGCAATGAATCCAGGTTGAAACTTGACTTTGTAGGCCACAAAGTCTCCTAACACCATTTCAACGTTGTTCAAATGTCTTCAACGACAATAACAAGACAATGATTCTCGCTACCAACTGCGCAACTGGTTCCTTGGTCGAGACGTAGCCGAAAGAATTATAAGAGGGGCCGGATTCCCAGCCCAAAAAAATCAGGACTTCGGTCCTCACACTCCGATGTGTCATGGTTTCCTTCTTGCCTGCGGGTTTGAGAGTCTCCATGGCCACGGCTGTCGCTGCCACGAGCCCAGCGATGTAAGACTTGCGCTACCTCACAGCCAATGAGCCCTGTGATTGTAAAAATGTGCTTCGCAGGACGGGCTCTGCGTCAACAACAATCCTCGCAGGGGGGCGCTGCGTTACCAAGTGAACTCCGCAGGGGGACGCTGTGATGACAATTAAGACCCGCAGGAGACCGCTGCGTTGACAAGTTCTCTGCAGGAGACCGCTGCATTACCAAGTTCTCCGCAGACTAGGGCCTGCGTCAACAACAATCCTCGCAGGGACATCTGCGACACCAAGAGTCTCCGCAGGGACATCTGCGACAAAAAGACCCTCTAGCCCGTGCAGGCACCTCTTCGTGGTGCTAGGGACCAGTATTCGAGTATCAAGAGTACTCGAAGAAGCAAAGACCTGCGCACCATCTTGATGATGTATTTTGTATTTCGAATGATCGTCATTGGAGAAATCAAATGAGCCCTAGATAGAAGCAAACCAATATCAGAATCGTAACTTCATGATTCAACCTTCGTTATCGAGAGCCGTATTCCCAACGCTCCTGGCTTCACGGTTTGCGGCCGGCTAGTCTTCCCGCCGCAATAGAATGTATCTGCCATCAGGGCGTGGAGCGGACAAAATGATGAGTATCTTGGTGCGTCGTGGATGTGTTGACCGGGCGTTGATGAGCGTTGGTGATCGTTGATGAACGTTGGTGGTCGTTGATGAACGTTGATGGGTGTTGATGGTCATTAATGGTCGTTGACGATAGTATGGACGAGGGTGTTTATGTGTGTATTGTGGTATATGGCCAGGCGGTGATGTTGAGTAATGGTCACTAGACTTCAGCAAAGCCCAACCAAGCCCATTTCTATGCACACAACTACCGTCTTGGCATTCATAACCCTGCTGATTAATGTCTTTTTTTATGCATGTGTCGGATTGACGGATACTGGTATGTGCTAGTATTGAGGTGTCCCATTGAGATGCATTGATTGTTCTATCTGGATCTTGCTGTTGAAGTGTTATCAGATCTCAGGAGTCGTTCCTAGCGTGTTACAACGCTGGTATGCCGAGCGTACCCCGTTTACCATACAGAGACAAAGAGGGAATGGGTACTTGATGAATAACCCTGTTCTTAGTGGTAAAATACCACCCCTCAGTTCGACAGCATGTTCTAACTAGTCTGTAAGCCCAGATATCGGCCCGACGTTTTCCCTGGCCCAATCCGGGGGTTCAACTAGTCCAAGAAGCAAGATATCAAGTATCAACGGCAACGACCTGGCAATAAAAGTCATGGAAAACAATGGCGACACTTAAGACCCGTTTGTATAGGAATTACCAAGAAAAAGTCGAGTTTTACCAGGATTTTGAACTATTCTGGCACTTAAAGAATTCATGAGCGCCAGCACATAGTTATATATATTTCATAAAAGCAGAAGTAGGCGCATCTTCCTATTCAAGTATGACATTTTCAATTGTGGAAACCCTCATTTTTAGGTTATAGAACTCAACTTTATACCCAAAGCTAGCTAATTTCTCACAATGGGTGTCCTTTTTTACAGATAATTGATACTGGGAAAATCTACACTACTTATGCAAATGCCAAGAATTGGCATGTTTATATTGGGCCCCACGAAAGCCCAGGGAACTTCTACCTTAGGCCCATAGAATATCTGTAGGTTGGGGTCGGGTTGGGCCTTGGGCTTTTGCCGGTCCGGAAGTCTACATATGACAGAAATATCGGTTTCATTGTTTCATTCTGCACCATTTGGCATCACTTGCTACGATGATCCCCTGGTGTTTACTCAGTATTTTTTGGCACACAGCCTCCAATTCGATTGAGCTGGTCCAATGCAAACACCAATATCCCTCGGTGAAGCTATAATGAGGCAAAAACCCACGATCAGACCTACCAGGTCTAGATGAAGCATTGAAAGAGCGCTCGAAATACATTTTGTTGCTCAGATAATCACGGTGATGCGATAGACTGTTCCTTGCGTAGTCGAATTGGCCGCCTCAGGCGGCTTGCAAGCCACTCACTCCTACTCTGCTGTAGAATGCCTACAACCACAACGGTCGCGAGTCAAAGTGGATTCCCAATAAAGACAGCGAAGAAATTGAGGGGATTGGCTCGAAAATTTCCGATTGGCTGCTTCTACATGAGAGCCATCGGAAACCCGTGAATAACCCCGTTAGCAACTACAATTTATATCGCCTGTCCTATCGCGTTATCAACATCGACTACTGCACCCAAAGCGATCGCCATTGCTTTCTGGGAATAGTACCCGAGTTCACGCGATCGAGCATACTCTACTGCCTAGAGAACAAGGAGGCAGCCGGATTGGGGTCTAGCAAGCGCCATCTTGACCAGGCCTGTAAGGACGACTGCGCCAACATTTACGACGGACTTTTGTGATGTGATCTACTTGGCTTGGAGCCGCAGCAGACATGTGCGTTACCAATCCCGCCGAAAGCAATCATATGAATGCTGATTGGGGGTAGAGATTTTAGCATAGGCTGTCATAGATAGTCAGAGAGGTCGCACAGAGGATGGCTCTGAGTAAAGTTGTACAGAAACCCACCTTCACAAAGGATCAGCTCGAACGGTGATATGCCAAATGTCATCGAAGCGCAGTGCCTGCAAATAAGCCATGCCCAAGGACATTCGACGTAGAGGACGCACTGCTGACTTGCAGCTGCAGTGACCTCGAGGGTAAATCACCTTTGCACATGTTGCACATGTTGCACATGTTGCTCTCACTTGGATAGGAAAGAAAAGTGTGCCTAGGCATCAAGAATACCAAGATCACCAAAGACACCACAAGAGTCTGACAGTGCCTTCGATGCAGCGCCGTGTATGTCCGGTTGGTCTCTCCCGCTCGCTCGTTTCCACTTGTTAGCTCCACCCGCTGGAATACATCGACCGGCTCAGCAACGCGGAGTAGGATCAGGTAAAACTATCGGACGGCATCTCTTTGCTCGTGCTCTCTAGTTGACTCGGCTATGACTCGACACCCTACCGCCTCCTTTTATCGGTTCGTACCTGATATGGCCAATGTTCATCTGTAGGCTCGAAGTAATGGGGTCCGCCTCACCTTCTCCTTGCACGCAGACTTAGACTCGCAGCCTGCTCGTCGGCAAAAGTAGGATTCGTTCGCCATGAGCCAGACTAAAATATGAGCTCACCCCGGTGCCTGTCGAGCTGCCAGGCATCAAAAGACGTGAGATGCGAATCGAGGATAATGAGGATCACCCATTGGATGTCAGGAGTTTCATCCACAAGGAGGCTGTTCTTTCGCGGTGTTCGAATGCCGAGGCACGGTAGTACAGGCCCATTGTGGCCTGAGCCTTGCATCGGGTAGACACATTAGCACATGACTGATACAGAGTCGACTGAGAGAAGGGCCGACGATCTGGACCTTAAGTTGGCTCATCATTGATGCCACCAGTAGTTATGTCGAAATGATAGACAGTATGCGATCGCATCGGTAGAGGGGAGCTCGAGCAGAGAAAATGAGGGCGTCCTGTTATACGATACGAGTCAGCAAGGCTTACCACTCGGACGAATTGTTATGACTTACCTGTTCATAGAGTTTGCAGAGGGCACGATGTGTACGCTTGAGACGAGACGATCAGTGAGCTTCGTGGTCATATGAACTTGCCAAACAGATCACTTACAATCCTCTTCGGCAAGGCAATGCAGCACCATTCACGCCATGTTGTATTCTGGTTCACCGCACTCTCCAGCCGTTGCTTCCAAAGGGCCGGGCTGTGGACAAAAACACTAGCATTTCTCGGCCTTTTGGAGTTCCAGGACTGACTGAAAAGACGCGAGATGCCAGCCGAGGACAATGAGCATCACCCATTGGACGCCAGGAATTCGATCCACAAGGAACCTATTCTTTCGCGGTGTTCGAATACCGAGACAGACGGTGGTTTAGCCCATTATGCTTTGAACTTTGTATCGGTAGACACATCAGCACATCACTGGTGCATAGTGTCGACTGAGAGAAGGGCCGAGATGATGTGAACATTCCATTCATTCCTCGTCCATCCCACTGTGGTATTGAGGAAGGGACAGACAACTTGCGATCGCATCGGTAAAGAGGAGCTTGAGCAGACAAGATTGCTCGCTTCGCATTCGACTCGAGTGACGGCAATATGAGGGGAGCTGGTGTATGATCCGAGTCAGCAAGGCTACCACTTGGACGAGATTTTATAATTTACCTGTTCATAAAGCTGGCAGAACGTTCGCTTGAGACGAAACGATGAATTAGCCTCGAGATTGGATCTTACCGGCGAGATCACTTACAATCGTCTTCATCAATGTAGTCACCTTTCATGCCATTTGATATGATGTTGTCTCCAGTTCGTCGCACTCTCCAGCTATCGCTTCGAATAAGCCGCGCTGGGTGCACCGGGCAACTTCTGAGAGCCAAAGGCGCGTGACGGAATACCTGTGACGACAAAGCGTACAGTCGTAATGGGATAAGACCTCGCGATGGGGACGGCAGAGGTTCGTACACTCCGCCGTTCATGTGGTGAGGGCGGTGAGGTTGAGGCGGAAGACGCGATGGATCACGCGTCGTCGTGACGTGGTCTTATCTCCGATCCGGCAATAGGACTCTCAACGGGTATCTTTCACAGTGGCGATGGCTGCTCCTATAGTGGCATAGAAATCAGTAATGGTATTGGTGATTTAGAGCACAAAAATTCGCAACAACTGATATAGCGCAGCAGAGGATGCGATCAATCACTCACATTTTCATGAAGAATGGACGTCTCAAGCTTCTGCGCAGCGAAACTCGCGATCGGATGTCCGCACCTATTTTTAGCCCGTTCCTTCTTCACCTCGTTTTTTGCTGTGTGGTTTGGTGTGACGGGGCCATGAATATTGCATAGGCAATGGCTTTGTGCAGAGTACTAACGGGGGTGCGATGTCGATGTTCACCATCGTTCATTAGCTTGTACATCGGCGGCATAATCCATGACTCACATGTTTTGGTGGCCAAAATTAGGGACGAAGATACTGTAAAGAGCTGTGACCCTTGCGCTCGTGTATTGTGGCCAATTGACCTCGGTTCTGTTGAAATCGCATCGTCTTCGGAATCAGTGAGACAGGTCAGGCTAAGATTCACATACCTCGACGTGAAATTTGCGCTTTCTCTTGGAAATACTCAGAGGTGTACAGTAGATCAGCTCAGTCGGCTGCTGTGGCGGAGGCATCTTTGCATATACATCTTTAGTCGGCTGGTGTGAATGGCAGTGCATCTGGTGGGAATCATACAGAACCTGTATCTCTCACAGGCACTGTCTGGCTTACTGAACCAAGTTGTATTCTATAAATGTCAGTACAATGGGAGTTTCAGTACTGGATCAATGGGGAAGAACTTATCAAGTGGCTCGGACACAAGCCTGCTCATTTTTGCAGTCAAGTGAACAAGTGAAGAGCGAATTGCCGAGGATAGAGAACCTACTTATAGGCTTCTCAGCTCGTCCTTTCGCACAAGTGCGCTGCTTGGGAGAACGCGTTGGGGGACAACTCCCTTAATCGAGGCCTGTTGAAACCCACGTCTTCTTTTTACCGCAAATATTTGCAGCGACATTTCTAATGCTTTAGCTGCTCAGCGAGAGAGACAAGAGTGGTGTTGAGAAAAGGATGCTGGTTCGGTCAAGAATCCTTGGCTGTCTATTAAATCGTCACAGCCAGCCGTCTTAAATTGAGGTTTTGTGTCCATCCGCAATGACAGGCTCATATTTCTTGTTCTGATGCCTCATCTGTGAGCGAATCAACGTTGAATCACCGGAAAACGTCTACAATTTCATCCCGAGAAATCATGGATTTTTTCCCTAGCCTCGCGTTATTGTGATGTTGGTTGTGTTGAGCTGTGGGTCTGTCTGTCTAGACTGCAGAAAGCGAGGTCACCGTCGGTCAACCCGTTGAAGCTTCGCCATAGTTGTCAACACTCAATCTTCGAACTTGTGACCATCAAGATGCATTGGTTTATGTTTTAGGTGGGGATCGTGACCCAATGGATGCTCTACTCTCACCCAGCTGGTAGGGTCAGTGCGACGGTCGCGCTAGCCCGAGGGATCTCATCCGGTTGTTACCACAATACTCAACCTGTCTATTGCGAACTCACCCTTTTCATTCCCAGTTGCGCGACGCTAAAGCGGTGCTCACTCATTTCTCACCTGGGTGACACGCAGTGACTTCCTGGGTTGCAGGATCAGAAATGGCGGCTTGATGTTTCATTACGTCATGTGGTGACACACGTCTCAGCATCCGCCGAGTAAACGGCTTCAAAGTGCGCACCTCACTTTGGTTTTTGAGACTATGTATTGGACCGTACACCACTTTCTAGGCAGCAGACGGAGGCCATGGACGCAGCATCATGTTTACCCTCGGGATATTTGAAATACGATCAGCAGTCTCTTCCATCCAATGTGAGCGCAACTTTACGCGCCGTTGGTGAACGAGACTTTGAGCGCAACCGTGCTCTAATAGAAGTGGGTCAATGTTCCATAGGATCGCCAGGGGTATAAACTTTTGATCTCGGTTAAGGTGATGTGACGTGCGTACGGCTCAAATCACAATGATTGGGGTTCGTTATGGAGTGGGGGCAGACAAGAACAAAACAAAACAAAACATTCTTTGTTATTTGCCATACCATCCAACGCGACGAGGCGGGGAAAAAGGGGCCGTTTGACATTCCAAGGAAAGGTTCGGAATGGGCCGGCAGGTCTCGGACCTTCATTTAGGTAGTGATCTCCAAAGGGCCGGCTAGTGCATCCTAATTTGAAGTTTCTGGGAACACGAGATGTAGCACGCCATTTGTTTGTCTACTCCCCATGGCAAAAACGATGTAACGCTTGAAAATAGCGCTTTCCACTCTGGCAGATTTCTACAGATACATACGAGAGCGAAGCACAAACCCTGTGGAAATCAAGGCCATAAGACCACATCATGTCCACATGGATTTAATCAATTAGTTGACTTAATCATATGGTGTCTTGATCAATTTAAATCCATTGGAATCTAGTTGGGAGTAAGGCCAACGATTCGGGCCGGGAGTTCCTCGAAAACCAGGACTCATCGCTCGAGTTTCATTGACCAACACTGGTGCATGGCTCCTGATTGGATTTACGGATCATGAAGCCTACTGGTCGAAGATATGAATTGGTGGGGGCTGAATTACTCGGTGGTAATATTCTCGTTGAGATAGTACCGCCATTCGTCTCAAAATTTCTTCGCTTTTTCGACTCCTTATCCTCGCGATCCGCCACTGATTGAGCATAGTATTTCGTAGTTATTTCGCATTCACTTCCAATACGGGTTTGGGAGTCTTTTAATTGTCCGGGAGAAACGGTTTCAGACAAATCCGAAAGGCGGCGGATATTCTAGCTTCACTCGACCACCTGAATGAATAACGCTACCTTTCAATAGTTTGGAAAATCCTGGTACCCGGGCCGAGATAGCCGTTCAAGAGGCATCCGTTTAGGCCTAGTTACTTTTCAACACCATCATAAGTAGCACCATTACCACTTATTTACACGGTCTTTTTCGGCCGGTCTCTATATTCTACCAACATGGTGATTCATTCACGACCTTCTCAAGGTTTGCTTCCCCTTCCCCTTCCTCGCCCCCGGTTGAATATTTTAGATACAAGCTTCACCATTGACGGCCTGTGCTCATCAAAGCTTATTATTTTAGGAGAGTGTTGGCCAAGTTTTGTGCCCCCAAGATGGATACCGCGTCCGCGAGATGACAGGCTATGGCGAGATATCGAGCGAAATATCACTGCAGCAAGACTCAACGAAGAACGCTGCAAAAGTCTATCCAATGCGCATCGCGCGAAACGCCCGCGTCCAGCCAACTTTCGCGCTAGAAGGGGCACTGCTAGACCTCTGAACGTCGGAGCTGTCAGTGCCGGACCATCTGTCAGTACTAGGCCACCATTCAGTGCTGGGCCATCTGTCAGCGCCGGGCCATCTGTCAGCGCCGGGCCATCTGTCAGCGCCGGGCCATCTGTCAGCGCCGGGCCATCTGTCAGCGCCGGACCATCTGTCAGTACCAAGCCACCATTCAGTACTAGGCCACCATTCAGTGCTGGGCCATCTGTCAGCGCCGGGCCATCTGTCAGCGCCGGGCCATCTGTCAGTGCCGGACCATCTGTCAGTGCCGGACCATCTGTCAGTACCAAGCCACCATTCAGTACTAGGCCACCATTCAGCGCCGGACCATCTGTCAGTACCAAGCCACCATTCAGTACTAGGCCACCATTCAGTACTAGGCCACCATTCAGTACTAGGCCACCATTCAGTACTAGGCCACCATTCAGTGCTGGGCCATCTGTCAGTACCGAGCCTTTGGGCAGCGGTAGGGCTCCTACCAGAGAAGCATTCTTTACCAGCAACACATCTACTGGTAGTCCCTTGTCTTCTGGAAGTACCAGTGCGCCCGGCATTGGTGCCCAACATCATGGCTCTACAGATGCATCGGAGAGCGATTCCGAACCTCGAGTGGAGGCATTGCCGAGCCAAACGGAATTTTCCCACCTCTGCTGGATCTGTCGCCGACCGTTCCAGATCTTTTCCGGTATCAAGAGCAATTGGAAGTGTTTTCACCAACCACCTTCCACCGGAGATGATGGTGATCTTCTGCCTGCTCAAATGTGTGAATCCGGGCATAATCCCTCTATGCACGTTTGTTGTTGGGAGATTGTAAGGAAAGTTTTTGATGATTCGATTCTGAGTGTGTCTTACCGTTTCAAGATACTCGAACACCTTAAGATTCTGAGTCCTTTTGCGGAGCAAACTCCTTTTGATGTCGAGACCAACTCTATTGATCTAGAATTATTTACCGACTCAGATTCTATGTCCGTAATGTCGGACGAGGATGGCTATCAGCAAACGCGGCTGGAGGCTGTGCTTTCCAATGTCTCTCGATTACTTGATCAGAATCAAGCTATCCTGAGGATTGATGAATTGAAAAAAGTTGATCCTTGTCTAGCACAGTGGATGTCGATGGCAAATTCATATTCTGTGAGTATGAATAAATGCCCAAATGTGAGGCTCTCTTTAGAGAGGGTAGTGAAAAACCTCAGAGAGAGTGATGCTTCTCGATTTCCAAAGGCGTACAATTTCCGCGTTGCGTGGCACAATGTCCAGGAGGCGGTCCAGGCCATGGAAAGCTTACCTGACCTGGAGATGATTCCATTTGATAGCCAATTGAGGGGTGTTGGAAAGTATATCAGGTATCGTGTACCAGCTGAAAAATGTCGAAAGCTAAGCTTTTTCTTCTTTCCTTGCAAAGAATCCCGAGTATATCGATTGATTGGCTTAGCGTGTGATGGAAAGACCATCGGCTGCTGTCCAATCGGATTCCCTCATGTGCGCTTGATAAATTTCAAAGTTCAAGCACTAAGAGGCTTGCGCTTCGCTCAAACACATTCCGGGCAAATAACTGCTTTCAAAGTCAAGGACGACAAATATTGGGCCCGCAATTGGCACGGCGAGCCTCAGCACGCCTGTAATGAAGTCGAACTTCATTGGATCCAATCGAGACAAGACCTTGTTGTTTATTATGACGTGAGTATATTGTTGAAGCGTTCGTTTGAATCCGTGCTAACAACCCCAGGCGGACCAAAAAGAAATCAGATGGTTCACTGCAAATTCCTGATCCGATTGATCATTTTTAAAGAACTGCTCAACCCCTTTTTCTGGATCTGCAGGTATGGTGCAAAGGGGTTGATTAATGTTGATTATCTGCTGCTTGTTCCTACCGCTTGTATTTGAGATGTGCCGACCAGGCGAGTTATCTTCTCATGGCAGGAAAATTCCATGGAAACTTTTGGGACTTATTTTCTTGGGTTTAGATTAGTGTCATTGGTACTATCAAATGCGGCGAAGCGGAACCAAATCACCATGGAAAAAGTGATCAATTAGAAAGATAGACATGCAGTCTAGGGCTTGTTGAAATACCTCTCCCTGCATTTCATAGACCTCAGCAGTTGCTGCCTCGAAGCTACTGAACAGTTCCATGACCTCGGTTCTATTATAATCGCATCGTCTTCAGGATCAGTGAGATAAGTCAGGCTATGATTCACATCCCTGCGACGTGGATATTCGCGCTTTTTTTTGAATTACACATAGGGGCTGTATAGCAGATCAGCTCATTCGGCTGCTGTGGCGGAGATACATCTTTGCAAAGACACTTGGACCAGCCAGCCTAAGTCTTTTATATTTGATCGGCGGGCTGGTTAAAACAATGGATCTGCTGAGAACAATGTCTTTTACGGGCACCGTCTGGCTTGCTAATCCACGATATATTCAATGAATGTCAGTACAGTGGCAATTTCAGCACGGGCTCAATGGGGAAGAACTTCTCAAGTGGCTCAGACACAAGCCTGCTTGACTTTGCAGTATCAAGTGAATACATTGAAGAGCAAATTGCCGGGGTAGAGGACGTATTTATAGGCTTATCGGCTTCTGTGACTTACAAGCTTGGTAGGAAGCGTTGAAGGACACCTATCCTAGTTGAGGTCCGTTGAAACTCATGTTTTCTTTTTGCCGCAATATTCGCAGCGACATACTTGATGCCTTTAGATACTCAGCGAGAGAGACGAATGTGTGTGGTGTTGATAAAAATGATGCGAAGTTGGTCAAGAAACGTTGGCTGACTGTGGAATCCTTCACGGCTCTCTAAAATTGAGGCACTGGGTACTACTCAATCCGCAATGGCAGGCTCATATTCCTTGTTCTGATATCTCACCTGATGGGAGGCCTTCATATACTCGTCTCGGCTAAATCCCTTGGTCCGCTAGTGGCGTAGCCTGTGGCTCCGTTGAGAGGTGCATAGCAATCGTATGGGAGCATCACAGCCTTGACAACAATGTTTGTGGAGATTTTCTAGATTCTAGCTCCTGGAAACAACTTTGGTGTTCCCAGCGGCGTGTCAAGGGCCCCGGGAGACCGAATCTGTCTTAGTACCACTTAACGCATCTATCGCCATAAGCGTTGAGGCAAATCACAACCTGCATGCACTTGGAGGTTTTAGGAGGCAACTCTCAATTTTGCCAACTATGCTTCCAACAACAGTTGCCAATCCTTCTGCCAATGCATGGTCATCGCAATCCACAGCCACAACTGTAGCTATTTGGGCAGCAGCGATCTGGAATGATATCTCTTCTCGCAGGCCACTGATCGGCCTATACTAGCACACACTGCATCCTAATGCATTCGTCGACGCATCGACGTTTCAAGAAAGCATTCCATGCCAGCAGCCACACAGACATGTAGGCAAGGAGCCTACGGCGATGGCATATAAAGCTGGCGAGGGAACGCCGCAGAGAACGCCCAACAGCACCGACAATCCGAGAAATCTTCTACCTTTGAAGATCGCATCAATGTTCACCACACTGCCGTGGAATCCGTTTCTTATTTGTGAGATAGAAGTCAGCCCCAATGACGGTCCTAGCTTCTGTTGCGGGATGACAAAGAAAGGCGCTCCGTGCAAAAACTCGATCAAACTTGAAGACACCAAGATAGGCCATCAAAAGCTGAACAATCTCACCAGAGAGCCGTTCCAATTGTCAACATTGCAATCCAAGCTTTGCGCTATTGCCAAAGAATTCCTCTGCGCGAGATGGCACCGGCAGCGGCAGGCCGCACAAGGCGCGAGTGTCTCATGACTCTAGAGTTGCCACTCCATCGATCGTGCATCCGCGCCAGCGTCAGACGTCGTCAGCCTCCAGGAGACGCCTGGCGGAATCAGACAACACTGACCAGTCACTCTCTCACGGGCTCAGACAAGACCCGCCGGTGCCCCTGTCGACTAGCGCTGGGCCAGTGCAATCAACCAATCCCTTTGTGACTGCCGAAATGCTGTGGACCAACAGTGTATCATGGCACGTTTCGCCGGCTCGACCAGCTATCCTGACCTCGGTCACTAATATCTGGGCCGGTGTCCAGGACCTGTCGCTGCAGAATCTCCGCTTGAGTGAAGATGTCGACGAGATTCACTGTGTATTTTGTTTGGCTGAGGACGAGGAACAAGCAACCGAATGCGTAATCCTGCGTTGCGATCAGTGCCGAGCGCAGGCCCATCTTTCCTGCGCCGAAGAGTGGTTGGAAAAGCGACGGACAGGCTTTGGCACGTCATGCTGTGTGTGGTAAGTATGGATGATCTCAGTTCTGCAATGTCGGAGTGCTGATGAATGCAGTCGAAATGAAGGAAGTCTGGACGCCTTGATTCGTCCAGTCCGAGTCCCCTCGGCAAGCGAACCATCAACTGATAGAGAGCCTGTCACCGTCAGACATTCAGCACCAAACGAACCTCGTCAGAGTCAGCTGCCTCAGCGATCAATGGGATCCCCACGGGTGTCAGTCGAGCAGAGTGGGCCGCGTCGCTCAGCCAGAGTGGCAGGGACTCATCTACCGCGAGACCCGTCTACCTCTGCACCGCTTCACCGGTCGGCACGACTGAATTCCACTCAACGTAGGTGATTACAATTTATAACAATCGCGCGACGGAAATGTGAAATCTGTCGATCGCACGTGACTGGACGTGATCACACGTGATCACACGTGACCAGACGCTGGCATTCGGACCAGCAACAGAGAGATATGGAGTTTCGGAGCAAGCTTAGCAACCAAATGAATGAAATCCTGATCGTTAACCCCACAGAGCAATTCGCCACCGATCCACATTTGTAAGTGGCAGATGTTGATGAGCCTAAAAATGCTAATGATTCGGAGGACGCGAAATGATCGAATCGTCCTCGGGCCCTTGAACCAACCTCTTGCCACTCCTTACCTCTGCGGCCCGCAAAGGCCCTGGCATTCTCCCTTCGTATCCTCGAACAGCCTTTCTCTTCGTCGCCCACCATGACAACATTGCAGCCTAGTTCGGCTGAGAAGACCATTCGCAAAACCCACATCGCTCAGGTAGGTAAGAATCCAGCGGAAGAAAAAAAAATATATATACCAATCGGGGATTTCTGGATTGCAGCAATGAATCCGGACATCATAAGCCTCCAATATAGCCAACATCTCGCCTACCAAGGACTCCTTATGAACAAGTCTAGCTAAATTTGTTCTGCGCCAGGTATCTTCAAATCTGCGGTATCGACTAGGTCTGGCCAAACTCAAATACCAACATGGTCCGCTTCACTGCCTGCACTCAAGCCAATTCTCGGACGGCCACAAGCCCCTCGACATCTCGGCGGAGATTCTACGCAGTCGTTGCGGAACCCTATTGACTTCTCCGCCTCTCCAAGCCTCGACCTACCAGGAACCACCTCAATTAGCCCGCAACAAGCATGCATTTTCCTTCAACTCTCCAGTGATGCAGCCGATGAGTTTTGTCAGTCGCAAGCGTCTTCAGTCGAATCCAACCTCTGTGCGCCCTAAAAAGGTACCCCAAGTCTCGCGGAAGAGGTCTTACCGGCTGGCAAAATCCTCCCCTGGCGCGCAGGGGCATCCTGCAGCCTTTATGGCTGCGGATTTAATTCCAGAAACACCGTCTGTCGTTCATCAACTGTCTGACGAAGAAACCGGTTCTGAGCTGCCGCTGCCTAATCGCCAGAATGCGAGCTCGACCATAGGTTCCCCCGCCCATGTAATTGGAAGTAATCAGGTCTTCCCCCCTTCTATTCCTCCAAGTCAGCATGCAGTTTTGCCATCAAAGACTCGCATACTAGATGGCGCGATGTTTGGGACCCTAGGAAATTCGAGCCCACAGTTCAATTTCGCCGATTTCGTGCATCTGACTTCCAGCCCGACACAGGCAGCCTGGGACACCCGCACGCATGGCAATCCTCTTCGCACCCCTACCACTACCAAGGAGACTTGAAAATAATTGAACATAAACTTCGAGACTCTGTATCTGTTGCGGGGAGTCTAAAGGGGCTTTGCAGCTTGTTTTCAAACCGAGGCCTTGAAACCCAGTTTCTGCCTCCCATGGCTCTTCTCCGCTCATTTGTGCCAAAATCCGTTCTAATTTTCTGCTTGTGCTCCTTCGGAAAGGCAATGCGGTTCCTGCTGGACGCTGGCCGCAATAGCAATGCGCAAGATCCCTATATACGGTGCTGCTACTCTGCTGATACCACGAGCTAGCGCTCACTCCGCATCTGCTGCAACACGAAGCAGACCTTGACATAGTGGTGGAGCCACCGATACACACCACATATTTCTTCCATCACCATCTGCAATATTCAGAATAGTTCGATACCGTTTATAACCACCCAACTTGCTGATTAGCTAGCCGCCAACCTGAAACAGATCCACACGTCCTTTGCATCCCAGCCACCACGAATTAGATCGCTCTTCCACCAGAGTGAAAGAGGGGTTCGAGACTTACAGGTGATTTGATTCTCGTCTCTGTATCCCAACGCGAGGAAAAGGTCTGTGCCCAATAGCTTACTCTCAAAAGTACCTACCAGGAGCGCCTAGTGAATTTGTCGATTTTAAGCCTTATTGGTCTAAAATTCGAAATGACTTGTTTTAGCGCTTGGTGGGTCAGAGAACAGCAGTTATATGAGCATTCCGAACAAATCTAATTATTTTCAAATAAATGTCATCATACATGAGCTACCTTGAGCACAGCGACATTTTCTACCACTCTAGAGTGCCCTTCATCCGAAAATATTAACCCTTGGTGCTTAAAGATGGTAACAAGTTCCTTTTGAAGATAATTGAGTTCGTTCCCGACAATCACTAACCAACAAATTAGACACATTCACTCGTCGATGCCATTTCGGAAGGGCGTGAAGAAGATACCAATGCACTCCTACAACTTGCTCCAATAAATGAAAGTTCGCTGTAAGGAACACCTCTGATTGCCGCTGCAAAGGTAGGTCGGCTGGAACTAGTTCTACAGAGAGGAGCAGACCCGAATGCCGCAACTGAGATTGAAAAACAGAATGCCCTATATCAGGCAGCGGAAAGGGGCCATGTTGAGGTTGTGAAGATTTTATCCTCACTAACCGGGAAGAATATATTTGCTTGGCTTCACTGGACTCCGCTCCACGCCGCTGCAATCTGTGGCCATGCACAAATAGTTCAACACTTGCTTGACGCAGGGTTTGACCGAGGCGATCAGGATGAGGGAGGAATGACTGCGTTAGCATGTTCTGTGCAACAAGGGCACCTTGAAGTCATCATACTTCTGTTGAGAAAGGGAGCAGAAGATCTATCCGACAAGCGGAAAGATCATGCTTTTAGATCACGCCGTGGTCTTGCGTGAAGGAAAAGACAATGAGGAAGTATTGAACTTGCTTCGGGGAGCAGACTTTACGAAAAGAAACCTTAGCTCCCAGGCATTTGAAGCATTCAAAAGACACAACGGTTGGAAACTTGGCACCTTCGGTGTGTGGATTCTGCGGAGGGCCTTGAAATAGGAATGTAAACATTGCGCTTATAAGAATTATCATTGTTCTTGGTGTTGTAATACAGAGGTATAAAATTGAGTTATTCTTACAGAGGGATACATGAGCCTATATATACAGCAATGAGCCAAGTTGATTGAAAATCAACTTGGGTTGTCCATATTGACACCTCGGACTTAATTCCGACGGTGCGGCTTGGTTCCTGATCTGCACCAGCCTCATGTCACAACACTTGGCATTGGCATGAGGGAGCTGAAGAAATGATCCTGTCTCCCGAGTCGAGTGGAATTTGTCTTCTGAGGATGCTCGTTGTGTGGCATAGAATTTTATTTTTGTCGCTTGGTTTTATTGTTACCACCCGTGAGTTCAAAACGTTCATCAATAATCTTTGGAACACTGTGTCGAACTGAGGGGTGGTATTTTACCACTAAGGACAGGGTTATTCATCAAGTACCCATTCTCTCTTTGTCTCTGTATGGTAAACGGGGTACGCTCGGCATACCAGCGTTGTAACACGCTAGGAACGACTCCTGAGATCTGATAACGCTTCAACAGCAAGATCCAGATAGAACAACAATCAATGCATCTCAATGGGACACCTCAATACTAGCACATACCAGTATCCGTCAATTCGACACCCTTTGGGACAGGCTTATTCATCGTTCACCCAATTCCCCTTAGTATTTGTACGGTATTCCGGGCACATTCGGAAGTACGGAGTTGTAACACCCTGAGATCGTTCAACCGATCTTTAACACCTACAATCAATCACCTGATTCTATTGGACATGTTCAGTACCAGCCAGTACATCAATTCCTCATCCTGACAGATATCAAAAAAAGCTAATGAATGTCATACATGGACCTTCCATGGGTAAGCCGGATTTTAGCCCTGCCACTTGTACCTACAAGTGACAAAGGGGATTAAATCTCGCTATGCCCGGGATTGGTCTAAATTGGAGATTACGAGACATGCCAAAGGGTGAATCCTATCTTCAACCTAGCACGCATTATGTAGCACTACGCAGACTTGACAAACACCAACCGATTGGAGCGATTCTCTCTCTCTATGAACCCTGCAGCATGCCCACACAACAAAGTTCTGAATCATAATAAAAACCTCCAAAGTAAGAACCGATAACACCTGGAACCGACTGATATGAATGGCGTGAGACTCGATGAACATCTAAATCTCCAAACCCCAACAAATCAACGATAGACCCAGAATGCGCTTCGAGATTACAGGTACTGGAAGCACGAGCGTGCGCAACGAGTGAAGGCGTCAGGGGTGTTTTCACCTGGCTTATTCGAAGTAGTGGCGGCATCTGCACCACCATTGCCGCTAGCCACCTTAGAATTAGCGCTAGAGTCCAACTCACCGGTCCAAACTTCCGGACCAGGCATAGGGTATTCCTTGTAGCCGTTCCAGATACTGAAGTTGAACGAAGGGTCATCTTTCTTGTAAGCACCGGGGAATTTGACAGTAGGTCCGGGGGATCCATTTCCACCACCAACAACCTTAACTTGAGCACAGCTAAAGGCTATGTCAGAATTTACTGAAGAACAGAAATAGGAGAGGAACGAGAAAGCTTGACTTACGTGAAGTAAAATTCGGCTTGGCCACCCGCGGCGCCGTGCACACCTGTTTCGGAAATTAGTACCATTCGCTTGTATTAATGATATAACGGACGTACCAATGTGTTCCGGCCGAACCAGATACTCTCCATCAGACAAACTCGCAGGAATCGTGAACTCAATACGATCTTTGCCATAAGTACACCAGGCATCCTTGGTGAAGTCCTTGTTCTTGTCGCAGACGCCCTCTTGGTGGACCTTGAACCACTCGCCATCGCCCTCGTATTCCTTGGCGGTAGTAGGGGCCTTCGACATGTACACGATTGCAGGACCAGGGTGCTGCATTTTAGCACCAACCGCAAGCTTCATGGCGACATTGGATCCAGCCTTGACCTCCGCGGTACCGGTTTGGCCAGCGAAGGTAAAAGCACCTTTGTTGCAGCGGAAGTCAGGCATATCAGGAGTCATGTCGTCCCGGGTATTGACCCATTTGGTTGGGTTGTACTTTGCGGGACGAGTATTGGACCGGACAGGATCGGAAGCCTCCTTGCCGTCGATGACGATGGTGTCGAAGAAATAATGGGCTGAGACCATAGGCGTAATGGCTGCGAGGGCCACGAGGGAGAACTTCATTTTAAAATGAATAAAATAATTGTTTGGCTTTTGTAAAGAATGGATTGAGGGACCGGCCCAACGAAAAGGGATATACTGAAATGGAAATGAACGGACTAAGCTGCTCGCAATGAACGTATTAGACGCAGCAGTGAGGAAAATATGTCGTCCTTATATACTTTCTGATATCTGAGTATCTTGCGCGAGACACGCATCTGGACACCTAGCCATGTACGTATCTGGACCCCTATATATTGCATGATGCCAAGGTATTCTTCATTCTTTTGAAACAAAGACTGGAGCTGGGCCGGTTAGAGTCATTTAGTCACGAATGACAAACGTGTTATTATGGATCAGAACAGGGATATCTGAAACGCGACTTAAAGCTGCCTTGGCGAAAGCCTAGCTGCTAGATAGACCCTGGCATCTGACATAACTTTTTCTACCAAAAAAGACTGCCTTCACGAAGGCTAGCTGGTAATCCTTGACATGGATTTTCTAGGACAGAGAGGCCTTGTAGTAATGCCTAGATGGAGTCCGAGTATGTTTAGTATGGAGTAAACCACAAAGTTTAGATACTCGGTGAGAGTCCGAGGTTCCACACAATATAGAGACATGAATTTCGGTAGCAACGATAGTCCCACTTGCCGTTGAAGGCTTGGCATGTCAGTGGATAACTCTATTTCGAGGTAGGGAGCGGTATGATTGGTGAAGGAGAAAAGAAGGTCTTGGCGCGGTCATCTAGACTTTGTGGTCCCTCGGTCTGTTACAAAATGTTCCAGAATTTAGCCTGAACAGGAGTATCTATTCGCTTATAAAACAAGGGGAATGAGGAGGCTTGCCTAGGGCTGTTTATCCAAAACACTTGATCAGATGCTTGGCCACACCTGCTCCAATTAGATATGCCCGTACATCAAGCGGGAACAGTGACCCTTCGGGATTTGGACCCTGAACACTACACTACCTACATCCCCTTTCAGCAATTCTCCGATTGAAGAAACAGGGTAAACAAATCCCGCGCCTTGACTTCCCTTTCACTCCATAGAATGTCAATCTGTGACGGTTATTCCCGGTTGCTATACAGTATTCACCCGGATCATCAACACAGTGCTGTCGCCGTGCCAAACTAGACACGGATCGTGGAAGAGCTCAAATTTCGACGATCCTGATATCATCTTGGCAGCTTAAACATTTAACTCCAACAGCATGGATATATAAAGTCCTGGAGATGGCCATTCATCGCACTATCACTTTTCAACGATCAAACCTGAGTATTGAGGCAACCTTCCAAACTTCCACTTCGTCAGAAAAAATCCCTTATTTATGATATATTGATCTTTTCTTTATTTTTTTTTCCTGAGGATGATGATCCTCCCTGTCCTGCTAGCCCTCGGGCTTCTATCCTCAGCCGATGCCACGGCATCTTCGGGCTGTGGCAAACAACCAACTCTCAGCAATGGAGTCCACACTATCAATGGACGCGAGTACATCCTAAAGGTCCCCGACAACTACGACCCAAACAAACCCCATCATCTCGTCTTTGGCCTTCATTGGCGAGGCGGAAACATGAACTCTGTCGCCAACGGGGACAGCATCCAACCCTGGTACGGTCTTGAAAGCCGAGCACAGGGCAGCGCAATCCTGGTAGCTCCCAATGGCAAGAACGCTGGCTGGGCCAACCCCAATGGTGAAGATGTGGCTCTCATTGACGCCATCATTCAGCAAGTCGAGGGTGACCTCTGTGTGGATCCGAGCTCTCGCTTCGCGACCGGCTTCAGCTGGGGCGGTGGGATGAGTTATGCCCTTGCTTGCTCGCGGGCAAAGAAGTTCAAGGCCGTAAGTGTCTTGAGTGGTGGTTTGATTAGTGGATGTGAGGGAGGCTACGATCCTATCGCTTACTTGGGTATTCATGGGATTAATGATCAAGTTCTGCCGTTTGACGGGGGTGTGACTTTGGCGAATAAGTTTGTTGGGAACAACGATTGCCAGTCGACAAACATCGTCAAACCTGCGTCTGGCAGTGGTGGTTTCGTTCGATCGGACTTCCAAGGATGCTCCAAGCCAGTTTCGTTCATAGCTTACGATGGAGGACATGTCGGTGCGCCCTTGGGTGTTGGCAGTTCTCTGGCTCCGGATGCGACCTGGGAGTTTTTCATGGCGGCTTGAAGATTTTATTAGCCCTTGATAATGGAAGGATTTTCACTCTCATTACCTAGCGATTAGGCCCCCCTGTGATTTAGAACATAGTCCACGTGTTTGGTTACAATGACAACTACTTGGATTTGTCTTAGCTGGCATTGAAATCTCGAAACTTCGGCGTAATCAGGGCCATAATTATCGGCTCGGTTCGGGTTCTGCTTTATAATAGCCCAAATCACCGTTCGCTGAATCTTTCTAGCTTAGAAAAGGATTGGCAATGGTAGATGAATACCGGGGGAGTGGTGGTACAACCTTTAAAGAAGCTGGAAATAATAGTACGCGTGAGCATGTAAATATAATGTGACGCCGGTTCTTCTTTAAAGCCAAAGCAGGCTACCAAGACAATGTAATAGAAACGTTGAGTAAGGGGTAGCTGCATTCCACTTCATCAACTGACATTCGAGTGCGACTAACACGGAGCCTTGATGTCTATACAAACAACCAAGTTAATTTCCAATCAACTTGGCTCCATGTCGTGTAGATAGCCTCATCCTTCCATCTAGAATAAAATACAACACGTATACCTCCGAACTACAACACGAGCACTTCCTGGAAACTGGACGACCTGTTATTTCAACTGGATTACGCTATGCTATGCAATCGTTGGAGACACTGCACTCCGTATTTAAATTTGAATTTGCTAACAAAGTGTAATCTAATCGACCGTGAGCGTCTGCTTCCCCATGATCAATCTCGCCTCATGATCTCGACCCCATATAGTCACCACCTATATCGCAACTCTTACAATTTCGTCTTCACAGCCCCGTATTCCCCCAAACCCGTTTACTTTTTCAGAGTGAGGACGGCAGGCTTCCACGGTAGAGTATCATAGTTGTCACCACCAGCGTTCGGCTCTTGTCCCTGGTAGAGGAGTTGCAGGTTGCATGGATCGATAGTCATTGTTTGGTCAGGGTTGGTTCGAACCAAGTCACCATGACTGATGTCGTTGGTCCAAGTTGCACCACTATTTGCCTTTCCTGCAAATGGGCTTCTCTCGTCTGTTGCCTGGGGTTTCCATGAACCGCTGAGACTGTCGGAGGTGTATGAACGGAAATACCGCAGTCCTTGTGCTCCAATTGACTCGACGATCATCAGGTACTTGTCCTGGCCCTTGACAGTGTACACTTGAACTGCTTCAAACAGGTTGTTCTTCGTGTCAGTTAGGATCACCTCGTAGTTTGTTCCGAAACTTCCAGGAAAATTGTTGATGGGCATGCTGCTGCGATATATCTTTCCATTGTCTCCCGCAAAGAAAAGGTACATATGCGTGGAGTCACCAATAATGGTCTGATCAATGGCGAAGCCTTCGTCTGTGGCGGGGAGCTTTCCGGAAAAGAGGACTTGCTCCGATGACCATTCATTGGCATTGGTGGGATCAGTTGATGTTCGATAGGTGAATGTGCTCGAGTCCCATTGATAGGCCAGGACCCAAATATTCTTCGGCTGGAAGTAGAACAAAGTGGGTGCAACGGCTGAAAAGCTTGTTGCGTCTTGACTCGCAGTTGCCATGCCAGACCAATCCGAAAAGGCACCGAAGGTCATCGAGCCGTACTTCCCGTTTGTATCGGCGGTTGATGCATAGACGACGTGTTTGTTGTTCCAGACTACGCTGGTAAAGTCCTTGAGTGCGAGCCATCCGGACTTGGGATTCGCAAGAGCACCTGTTGATGTCCAAGAATAAGTCGACGGAAGCGCGCAGTCGGCAAATACGGCTGGGACTGATGCGAGCAACAGCATGCCAGGTGACGCCAGGCCAGTGCTTGACTTGAAGAATCTCATTATGGTTAAAATCTTATTGTGGGTGGTTTATTTGATTAAAGACCCGAAACAGGAGTTGACCCCGTTTTAAATACTTCAAGTACGGCTTATAAATTGAATTGTTTGGCTGGGTTAAATAAATCGAACTAATTCCTCATGACGGATATTAGAATCCACAATGTTTCTTGATTTGCTGTTTTCATAAAGAGATCGTCCGGGATAAACTACATTAGCCAGAAACCCAAGTCCGCCGGACTATTGCCTTTCTAGATATAGATACAGACATAAACTCCGGATCCACCTAACCATTCCAAGCCTGTTTTCAGGTGAGGCTGGGTAAATGCATCGCAGAGATCAGGTATCTAGCCGTGGTTCTTGATAGTGACGCTAGATGGGTTGATTCCTCACTGACGTATTGTCATTATACGGCTGTTTCACAAAATAACTCAGTAGTCTCAAATAATGCTTGGCGATCGTATTGCCGGTGGCTTGGGCCCTGTCGAAAGCCGTTTGAAGAATGTCAGACGTGATCCTGCTCGGAGATGCCTCGGAGATTTAGCGGGAAAATAGGAGCTAGCTATTTCGGATGACCTCCGAGGTATAACTGATAGACGTCTCCACACGGGAGCACCCCTCTTTGTTTCAACTAAACGGATTATACCCTTAAATATTAGCCAAGATCTGTGGGTCATATCGTCGTTACATATCGGAGCGAGAACTCGACATAGGCATAGTCTACCCCTGAAAGAAGTTTGTTCTTCTGCACAAACATTTAGGGTAAAAAATTATGGAATATTATCTTCATCCTTGATATTTACGAGGATCTTGGATGAAAGAAGTAAGCATCCATTCCCCATTAGTAAACGCCGAAGTCAGAATACTAGCTATTTTGAACGACATTCAGCGTATAGGTGATAGACGTCATGATGGATATTGTCTCCACAAGTAATGACCCCTTTCCGTTTTAACTGCCCAGGTTGTTCTACCCTTAAGCAAAAGTTAAAAGCTGTGGCCCCCTTCGTTGTTACATGTCGAGGCTAGAACCTGTAATAGGCCCATATACCCGCCAAGAGGTCGGTGGCTTGACAGTATCTAACCTACGAATTACCGCTGCGTACTCCTCACAAGTTCCAGATGAAATCTTCTATGCGAAAATTTAGGCTAAAAACGATCGAATATCATCCCATCCGAGCTATCTTTTATATCTTTGGATAAAATACGTAACGTCCGTCTTTGATTGGTGGGCGAGATAAATGATGTAGCCCCCGTTTTGCATCAGGGAAGGATTTCCCTATTTGCTAGCTTGTCAACTACAAAATTCTCTAAAATGCTGGCTCTTGTTGTATAAATATCATCCTTATCCCTCCCCGACGATGTTTTCTACAGCACCCATTTCCATCTATCGACTCGAAGAGCCAAGATGTTCCCTGATATGATTCAACTTAAGACAGCTGCTCTGGTTATGCTTTTCGCTGGCCAAGTGCTGTCTGGACCCGTCGAATCCCGACAAGCCCCTGAGAGCATTGATGCCAAATTCAAGGCCCACGGGAAAAAATACCTGGGAAATATTGGGGACCAGGGCACCTTGAACAAGAACCCCAAGACCCCGGCAATCCTCAAGGCTAACTTCGGCCAACTGACTCCGGAAAACAGTATGAAGTGGGATGCCATTGAGCGTGAGTACAAATGACCCAGGATAACTAGATAATCAGAAGCTGACTTGCAAAACAGCAAGCCAAGGACAGTTCTCCTTCGCAGGGTCGGACTATCTGGTACGTATCCAAATTCTTTCACCGCAATTGATTCTTTGCATTGTCCTTACATATTCCAGGTCGACTTTGCCGAGACAAACAGGAAGCTGATCCGCGGCCATACTCTCGGTAAGTGCCCGAGGCCCTAAGTTTCAGACATCATAGAAAGAGAAGCTAAACTCTTCAAGTGTGGCACTCCCAGCTCCCATCTTGGGTCTCTTCCATCACGGACAAGACAACCCTAACAGATGTTATGAAGAACCACATCACCACGGTGATGAAGCAGTACAAGGGCAAAGTCTACGCCTGGGTATGTTGTGACCACGAGATGGGTACCATAATGCTACATTACTGATCGACCTAAGGACGTCGTGAATGAAATATTCAACGAGGATGGTACCCTTCGTAGCAGTGTTTTCTACAATGTCCTTGGCGAAGACTTTGTTCGGATCGCTTTCGAGACAGCTCGTGCCGCCGACCCAGATGCAAAGCTCTACATCAACGACTATAAGTGAGTCGTAGTACTCCGTTCCTTATTTCTCCCGTTCGCGGGTATTCTGACCTTAAACAGCCTGGACTCCGCCACCTACTCTAAAGTGCAGGGTATCGTCAGCCACGTCAAGAAGTGGATTGCTGCCGGTATCCCTATTGACGGAATCGGTAAGATACCTGCCATTACAGTTCGCCGTATATAACTACTCACTCTTTCTAGGCTCTCAAACCCACCTAAGCGCTGGTGCCGGTGCCGCAGCTTCTGGATAAGTACCCTCTTACTTCGTGACCGAAAATTAGCTAACAGTCTCTCACGGCTCTTAATGCTCTCGCCAGTGCAGGAACGGAGGAAGTCGCTGTCACTGAGCTTGATATAGCTGGCGCCAGCTCTACCGACTACGTAAACGTGGGTTTCCACGACCACTGATATGATTGACTCCTCGCTAAATCTCCATTTTATAGGTTGTCAACGCCTGTCTGGACCAGCCAAAGTGTGTTGGAATCACAGTTTGGGGAGTTGCTGACCCAGTAAATGCCGATTCCTTCAAGGTCTAAAGTACTATATACTAATGTTCTTGTTAGGATTCGTGGCGCGCCGATGAGAGCCCATTGCTTTTTGACAGCAACTACAACCCCAAGGATGCCTACAATGCCATCGTAGATGCCTTCTAGGAAAAATGCTTTCAATCTCTATCTGAAGCTGCGAGTCCTGCTACTGAGCGGAGGCTACACTTCAGATTGAATTACATCTGATGTCTTCGAGATACAAGGATGGTGGTAAAGGAGGGCTATGGTGAAATGTTGCTATCATTGAAGAACTGTATTTGAGGGAGATAGTCTCACCTTAAAAACAATGGAAAGGTCTTTTCTAGTTGCACAGGTCTTGCTGTCTTGCTGTCTTACTGTAATTTAAGCCAAAAAGAAGATGGAAGAGAGCATTGTTGAAACCATCCCAGGGTGCCTTGT